CATGTTCACTATAACTTTGCCCAAATATTTTACCCCTCAGTGTAAATTAGGGATAATGTTAATCACATACCCATTTTTATTTCCCACGCACACTTGTTAATTTTTTGACGTCGATCTTCTTCAATTCATTTGATCCGACATTTGAAAATTAAGAGGCAACTATGCGAAGTAAAAATAGGTGTGTAGAGAGCACTACCGTAAATTAATGGTTGTATTTTTAGAATGCTAAATAACTATTTTAAACAGGCTTATTAATTGATTTACCTCCTAAAATTGCCATTTAGTCTCACTTTACCCTTTAAAACTGGTTTTGTCTCACTTTGCTCCATGAAATGGACATTTTCATCTTATTTCACCCCATTTTCGTCCATTGCATCAAACATTAAATTAAAGGGTAGGGTGGACATTTTATTTTTAGGGTTAATCTCTGTTTACTACTCTCAAGTTTCGTTGTTTTCAACATTTTGGTACATAAAGTTTTTAAGAGGTCCATGTGGTTATTAAAAATTAAAAATTTTAAAACTTAAAAAAATTAATTTAAAAAAAAAAACCTAAAAGTTACCTGTCTTCTCCGCCCATCCTTTCTTTACCCAGCGACCTCGACCCCCCCACCCCCCAATCCCTTCTTTTCCCTGCAACCCCTACCCCCCCCCCCCCCGGCGCACCCATTTCCCTTCCTCATCCCCTCGCACTCTCTCCCTCCCCTTCTCTCTTCCCCAACCAAACCCATGTTCCTTTTCTGGTATTTTCTGCAATGGTACAAGAGTTTCCTTCATAGACCTCTCTTGGATCCAAGTGCTGCCCTCTCCTCACCTCCTTAGATTCGGCCCTCTCCACCGTCGTCAACAACCTCATCCAATCAGGTAACCTCTCATGTGCTTGCACGGGTTTTTCCCTCCACCGTTGATTCTCTGATTGGCTGCTGCCTGAGGAAAAAAAAAAAGATTTTACTTTGTTGGTGTTCTGAAGCTTTCCTCAAACCCTCCATGCACCCTTCTTCCAAGGAGGTGATGAGAAAGAATAAGGTAGAGGGAGAAATTGGAAACAGGGTTTGAGAGAAAACCCATTTGCTGTTTTCAATTTTTGGATCAAATCATGTCAGTTCTTGGAGTTCCTGAGACGGGTTTTTGAAAACTTTGAGAAAAACCCAGTTGGGTAGAGTAAAGATTGAAGTTTTTTTGCTTGAAATTGTGATTTTTCTGCAGAAAAAATAATTGGGCACATATTTTTGTGGAGTTTGGTATTTGGGTTTCTGGGGGACGAAACGTTGTCGTAGAAGAAGTCGCATACGACGCTGTGAGGGGCGGAGAGGCAAAGGTCTTTGGGGAAGAGGGAGTGCCAGGGGTTGACGGAGCCCAAAACTGGGTAGACGGCGTCTTGCTCAGCGGGGTTGAAGAGAGGTGGGGTTGTTAAATGACGGCTGTGGACATGAGGGTTGTGAGGAGGAGGAAGAGGGTTGTGATTGCAGAGGAGAGAAGGGAGGGAGAAGGAGGGGAATGGGGTTGCAGAGTAAAAAAGGGATGGGGGGGGAGGTGGACGACTGGTAGGTTTTAAATTTTAGTTTTTTTTTTTTTGAATTTTTAATTTCCACATGGACCCTTTAATGACATGTGGCGTCCAATCATTGTCCACATGGACACCACATCATCAGTTAACGGTAGACTTAACAGTTTGACTAACCGATGTATGAGACTGTCCCAAAATTAACACTTTAAGTATGACTTTGGGACGAAAAAAATTTCATGTAATAAATGTTGAAAACCACGAAATTTGAGAGTAGTAAACATAGATTAACCCTTAGTTTTAATACAAGTCTTTACCTCCAACTTGCCTGTTAAAACAATCTGAATTCCATTTTCAATAATTCTGATGTAAGCCCCTGCTTGTCTCTCTTGCTGATTGGTGTGGAGCTGTAACTACATCCATTGGTAAAAACAAATAAAGGGTTGTGTTTCAAAATCTAATTCAAGCCAGTCAATGAATTCAATGGCTGCAACTACAATTTTGCATCAATCCGCAAGATAAATAAACCGGGGTTCAAATTAGAGATATCAAAAATGAAATTGAGATTGTTTAAGCAAACAATTTGGTGGTAAAGAGTTGTGTCAAAAATAAAATGTCTATACTACCTTTTAAGTTAGCTTTTATCTGACGGAAAAGACGAAAATAAGGTGAACTGAGACTATATAAGACAAAAATTATAGTTTTACGAGGCAAAAATAGACAAAATCATTTTTCGGCAGTAAAGTAAGACTAAATAGCATTCGAGGAGGCAAATCAATTAATAAGCATTTAAAAATAAAACTGAAAAAAAAAATTGTTTGACTTTCCAACGAGAGATTTTTCAATGTCTAACATGGATACATATGTCATATGATATTATATAAAGTACATAGATACCTAAAAAGTAATGGCTCAAATGTTAAAATAGTCCATTTGTTTCAGTCATTAGGTCAATTTAGTCTATGTGTTTTCAATTTTGCCAATTTGATCATTGTGTTTATCTTTGTTAGCCAATTAAGGACATTTCCATCTAATTTTTGTAAATTTTTTTTTTAATTATTATAAAATCATTTATAAAATTAAAATTTATTTGATATAAATATTTAAAATGAAATAAAATTAAAAATTAAAAGAAAATATATTTTCCTCTCAACTCTTCGATCTCCTCCCTAACATTACCCCATCCCTTTTCTATGTCACAATCTTAATCATTTTTCAGATTGGAAGTTTGATTTCTTATATATGTTATCTCTCATTGATTTGCATTTTTCTGTAAGGAGAAAAGATAATTATTTCTCATATGAATTTTTTAAAAGAAATTGAATGAAATGTCTTTAATTGGCTAACAGAAACAAACACGATGACTAAATTAGTCAAATTGAAAATACGGAAACTAAATTGGCCATATGTGTCACAGCCCGTCCCGGGATTTTATTTATCGAGGACGTGAAATGACAGAATTACCCTTGACGGGTGCTAAGGTATGTGTGTGTGTGACATATTATTTGGACTAAATACACATATTCCATAAACTTTTGGAAAATTATTTAAGTTGGATTAAAATTTGGGTTGTAAATTTGTGTGGTTAGGGAATGAAGTTGTGACTTGTTTTTGGGTGGACCACACAACACACACACGGGACAACCCTCTCCCTTCCCCCGTGCTCTCTCTCTTTCCTCTCCGTTTCAGTCTCTCTCTCTCCCTCTCGAAATTGTACGGACAAAGGGCCAAACCCTTGAACTTTCACGGATCGACGCCAAAAGGGAATTCTAAGCTTATAGTGAGCTTAGTGAGGTCCTAAGAAAGCTCGGAGTACTTAGTTTGAAGGTTTTGGACGTCGGGATCGTTGAGTTCGAAGTTGGCTGGTTTTCTTGGAATTTCTCCGGTGAGATTTCGTAGTTTTAGAGCCTTAAAGTAGTGTAACGTGATTCTACATGCTTAGGGCTTCATTTTGATATAAAATACATGAAAAATGGTTGAGAAATGATGGAGAACAAGGAGATTGAAAAATCTCCAGTTTTCCGGCCACCGAAAAAACCAGTCCGGTGAGCCCAAGGTAGGAGACGCGCGTGGGGGCACGTGGACCCGTGCCTGTCCTGGCGCGTGGGGGCGCGTGACAAGCCCAAAAATTATTTTAAAAATATGTCGACGTCCGTGACGTCGAGTAGGTCACTGTGGTATATTCATATACCCAAATTGAGCATCGTATGAGAAGTTATTACGAATTGTCGGTTATGTGCTTTAAATAACGTTGTTTTAGTTGTTTCGCATATAGGTGATACCTATCCCAAGGATGAGCGCATCCAGGGACGTCACGGGGGTTACGACCCTTCGACTTATTAGTGAGTGGGTAGTTACTTTTTGTATTTACCTATATACTATTGATATTTTTCCCTGAAATTGAGTTTAAATGAAAGTACGTTTTAAAATGCCATGCATGCATATTATGAGATATATGAATTGATAATTGATGCATATATATATATGTGAATTGGTGCTGTGGATGCACAGATGAGTATCAGGGTAGTTTTATGTTATTCATGTGAATCATTAATAATGTGAATTGTGTTGAGAGCTCATAACCTGCACCCCTGGTGTTAGTACTTATAGTATTCACCACACCGCACGCTCACCTTGGATCCAAGTAGGTGCATGTCGTACAAACCATGAGAGGGTTCCGACATGCTAGTCGTATAGATCACTAGAGGTGGTTCCGACTGGTAGGTGACCTTAGATTATGCGCGCAGATGATTGATGAGAGAAGCACTAGAGCGTATTATTTCACCATTCTTGTCGTACAAACTACTTCAGGTAGTTCTAACTTATGTGCAGAGTAGCGCCGTACAGGTCACCGTGGTGACTCCGGCTGGGTTGGATATTGAGCTATAGAATTAACCGTACAGGACCAACTGCAGGGTCTCCAGTTGATTTCTTATTTTACCTGTTATATTGATGCATCCATATTCTGTCATTAACATTTATAGCATGGCATACTTGCTGGATTTTGATAAAGATTAATGTTTTGAGAGATTTGAACAAATATTATGCTATTATGTTATTTTCTGGGAAAATATACAAGTTTTACAGTGAGGGGTTAGAAATGTTTTAAACGAAATGTTTTGGAAAACTTTGGTTTTACTGACCCACTCAATTTTGTTTTGCGCCCCTCCAGGTTCTAGTTAGCAGTTGGTGGCTCATGAGGTTTTCTTCGGCGTTCTGACATACTTCCTGCATGTAGGACTCACCTGCGGGTGTTATAATTTAATTAAGTCCTACTTGACTGCACCTAGTATTTATGCTCTGAAATTATGTATTGCACACTTAAACTCACTCTAGCATGCTAGTTGGATATTATTGCTAGATCGAGCACATTTTTAAAAATCTCTTCTTAATCCTTATCGACGGAATTGAAAAAACCCGATGGCAAAAAGCGTAGGCATACGGAAAGAAGAATTTCAAATTTCGAAAAAGCCCTGACCTTGGGATAATACAAAATTACCCTCCAAAACGAAACCACAACCTGATTTCACGCTCTCACTCTCACTCACCCCTCTGCGGTAGTGCATTTGGAGGAATGGCGCTGAACTTAAGCGGATCCGATCTGGAAGATGAGGAGCTGGAGCGCCAAGTGCAGGAAATGGCGAAGAAGATTCTCGAGTACAGAGCCACTTTACCAGACCAGCTCAAGAATACCTTCGCCTCCATTCTCGCTGCTCACCGGCCCGCTTTTTCCGATAGGTCGGGTCCTGGGACGTCCGGAGCTTCGAGTTTAGGTACGTTTCTTTTAAGTGGTTGCTGGGTTTTGTATATTTTACTTAATTATTTTATAATGATTGCCGTGTTCTCAGATTGATATCGTTTGCAACTTTCTAAGGTTTGTTTGGTAGCTGAGAAAATTCTAGGTTTGAATAGAAAATGAAAAGTTGGGTCTTTTTAGAGATGATTTATTTGGGGTTCTAAGAAATTTCAGAATCAAAATTGGGTGTTTTTTTCTTTTTGTTTTTTAAAACGACAAATTATAATTTGTAGTGTATTTATTTTCATATTATTTTGGTGTGCACAAAAAATAGAACCTTGGTAGTGGAAAGAGCCCCTTTTGGGAGTTTTCAGTTAATTCCCAATTTTAGTGGCTGCAAAGAGATTTGGATGGATTGCTGTGTTTCTGGGACAATAATTATATGGATTGGAGTAATTGAACTGACGTAGTGTTTGAGGCAATCCATCTTTTTTATGGTAGTGATCATACTAGCATATCGGCGCTCACACACCAGACATTGCTGATATTGATGTTGTGTGTCTCGGTTGTGGAAATGCTTAGTTGAGGGATAAAATTCCTCTCTCTTGTGTTGTTCTCAGTGACGAATGGAGTATTGAATGTTGCTATCTATGTTGCATATAAATACTGATGGGTACATGTTATTGAGGGCAAGATTGGTGGAGTGTCTACTACTCGTATAATTTGTTCTTGATAGTGACTATATAGTTTACTTTCACTAAACCATTCTCCGTTTTTATATAGACTTAGTTCCAAAAGTCTATGGTATTCAAATGGAAGGAACTCTTTCATTTGATACAGCATTACTCAACACCCAGAACACACAGAATTATACTTGCCAGAATTAAATGTTGTAGAATATAGGCAGCTAGAAGAGATTATAGAAGCTGAAGTAGAATTAACAGAAATTAATTTTGAATTCACCAATTAGCACAGAAAGACTTCATCAGAAAAGTAAGAAAAAGTAAGCAGAATAGAGATTGAGAGAGAGAAGTGGAGTTTACCAGAAGTGGGCGCAGCCATTACCAACTTTGTATTCGGCAGCTTTTGCTGAATGTTTCTTCAAGGGTGTTGAGTTGGGGGACGTACTTCCATTCTTGAGCTTTTTGCGGAACAAGCTAAAGAACTTGTACCTTTATTTTTCTAATATTTCGTCTTCGTATTGCTCTTCTATCCAATACTCCTGAATTGGATAATAATATGCGTCTGATTTTACAAGACAAACCTAAAGAGATAGAAGCTCATATGAGAGATTTATTAAAAAGAGTTGAGAATCAAATAAATCAGTTAGAAAATAGAATAGATAGTATTGAAGAAACTCAGAACAAATTACAAAAGACTATAATAGATTAGAGTTAGAATGAATAGAGTAAACAATTTTACCATTTATCTATCTTACATAGATTGGTCAGATAGAAATAGTTTATTAGTATTAAAAGAAAGACTCTTAGATCAGCTTTTGCAAATTGAACAAGTTAGAGCAATAATGAGAAGGCCGGAACTTGTAAATAGATTAGTAATTTGCCAATGAAGCACTAAAATGTAGATGATGTCTCTGGTTATGTAGTTGAATATACGGCTATGTTGATAGAAAAAGTGATCACATGTTGACACAGGTCGCAGTGAACTTTTTTTAGAGATGGTAGCAATGTTGAGTCAAAGATTACAGTGGGTGGAAAATGATATGGAAGCAAATTGGTTGTTGTTTCAACTAGGTTTTGTCTCCTTTCACTGTTGGTGCTGCTAGATTAAAGTTTCAAAACAAACATGTCCAAGAAGTTGATACATTGCCTTGTCCCGGAAGATCGGTGCTTTCTGTGAACGTGGTGTAGGATTTCTTGCATCTGTCATCGGAACCTTTCTTCTTGCTTTCCAATATCACCTTGAATTGAGAATGCCTAAATGCTGTTTGTTTTCAGTGCTGTTTTATTCCCCCAAAATAAGAAAAAGCGAAGTAGCATGGAGTTTCGTTTTCTCAAGGACAAATTTCCAATTCTAATTGTGTGTATATTTTTCAGATGCAGGGCAAGTTGCTTCTAATAAGGCAAGATTACTGGCTGATGGAGATCAGACTTTCGAGAAGATGCGACTGCACAAAGATAAAGTTCCCAGCAATGTTGCTGCCTTGCATATTGTTTTGAAGAGGGCGGAAGAATGTTTCTTTAAGATTGACGAATTAGATCCTCCAAAACCGAACGTCTGAGAACAAGGGGACTAGTTGACCGAGATTGCAACCCTTTAATGGCTTCTATATCTGCTGTTGATTGATGTAGAATGACACAGATGTTTTGAATTTGGTCATATTTGATTCGTACAATCAAGCAAGACGATGTTCAGCGTGAATGTAATTACCGAAGAAAGCGTGCTTTGAATTCGAAGTTATACCTTAATATGTTGCTAATTTACCGGAAGGCTCCTCTTTCAGATATCCTGACCTCTACAGTTGACTGGTTAACTGCAATAAGCAACTGCATAATGCACATATTACGTTTTGAGGTCATGGTCAGGGATGCATGCTTAAATACACTGGAATTTCATTGTTCAAATTCAAGAAGAGATTCTCTTCTAGGGTTGGGGCTGTTGCCTTCAAGAATGATGAATAGGGTTTTTCGGTACTTGTGATCGAGGAGTAATGTTATCAAGGCACGCAAAACTTGATCCCATCCTTGACGCTCTTTTAATACATACAACGGTTAGGCATTACCATTATCAAGGTGTAACCAACGAGGCCCTGTTCGTAATCGAATAAAGTTGTGTTACACACAAAATTGAGACTTGGGTTTACTTGTAAGTGGGAGGTCTTAGGTTTGGTTATCGTCAGAGACAAATTCGAACCTAATTATTATGGGTCCATTGTGAGGTTTAGCTCATTTCTTCACCTGTTAGTGTGGATAATATCAAATTCTAAAAAAAAAAAGAAGAGGCAATTAGTTAATCAAAACGAGATTAAAAAACTTTAGCGAGAATCGAACCAAATTATTATGGTTAGTCCATTATGAAGTTTATATTATTATGAATATATACAAAAATTCCAATTAGTTAAACAAAACATATTCACAAAATAAAAAAAAAAATTTGGACCATTTCTCGATTTATGCGTGTCATCCTTGCGCAGGGGCCATGCTAATCTTCTCTGTATCGTTCCAATTTTATCGGATGTCCCCGAAGGGACAACACTTGTTGCAGTCTAACTGAAGATAGGACAAGGATTGTCTGCCCTCCTAGTTGTGGTGCCCTTCCATGCCCTCCTATTTTGTGCGGTCACGGTTAAGCCACGTCAATATTTTATATTAATTTTTTAATGAGATAATAAGACAAAAAATAATTAAAATATAAAATATTGACGTGGCTTAACCGTGACCGCACAAAATAGGAGGGTATGGAAGGGCACCACAACTAGGAGGGCAGACAATCCAAGTCCCTGAAGATAAGGCAATTAATACCACTGCGCTTGCTCGATGTGGGACACCTCCTCCACCACTTTTTGTAAAACGCAGCGTATTTGGCGATTAAAAAAAGTTAAAAATAAAAAGCAGCGCCCACCGTGGGGCTCGAACCCACGACCACAAGGTTAAGAGCCTTGCGCTCTACCAACTGAGCTAGACGGGCAGGTTGACAACTCCACTTACAGAAACAATATGGCATGTCATATGTTGTAGAAGTATAGCGTTGACACAAATTCACAGCTTCAAATTTTAAGAATGGTAATCCAAAAGACCTTAATAAAATTGAATTAAATTCATCTTTATGAGACGTCCAAATACATCAAAGCATGTACTTGGATACAAGAATGGTAGTTTCCAAATATTCCTTGGGATACAAAAATTTCAAATCGATAAACATTTGCAGCCAATTATATCGTCATCTGAACTAAGTTCAGGTACTTAATTGACAAGTCCCTTTCTCACATCAAACGTGACTCTGCCAAGCCCCTTTCCCACAACATAACATTTCTTCCCAACAGCTACGAGCTGACAGGGCGGTCTAGTAAGCCATGCTCCTTCTCCAACATCATCAGCCTAGTTCCTCAACTCTGAACCAACACAGAGGGTTCCGCCTATGACAACTGCTGGACCTCACCAGCTCGAAACCACGTCAGATTTCGCGTGCTGCCATGTCCTATTGACGGTTCATAAACAACAGCGTCACATGAGCAGTTACAGCACAAGTGCCACAACGAGCGTAAACCTTCCCGTCCATGACCACAGAATCCTCAATTTTAGGAACAATGTTTGTCATCAAATATTTCACAAGAAAAATAGCACATTCACAAATTAAATGAACCAAAGCTCTTAAGATTTACCATAACAAACAAAATGAGCAATCAATATGCTCAGAAAGTTGGAGCAGGTGAAATATATATGAAGTTTGAACCTGAATTCGAGCTTCACCCATGCAAATAACTACGCAAAAAGTATACCTGACAACTATTACCTAGCAGTGGACAAGGGAGAAGCTTCACCCCAAGCGTTCAGGGAAGCATCATAACTGTAGACTGTTAGATCCCTCAATCAACCTTAACCCACGGAAGCCATGAAAGAACTCAGAGAGAAAATGACAAAAGAATCTTGATATTATTTCATAACCATTTTCTGTTTCTTACAACTCTAACTATATAACAACTTTCCCCAATTACATTTTTACCCCAATTACAGCTATACTAACAACTTTATTATGAATATTACAGCTTCATCACTAAGATGACGACATCTGGCCCCCACACAATTGCTTTATAACCACTATTTGTTACTAGAATCCAAACAGAATCTTAACATTACTCCCCCATTTTTAGAATTAGCCTTGTCCTCAAGGCTTAAAGTCAGGAAACTTCGACTGTAGAGTATCCCAGCTTTCCCAAGATGCATATGTAACAGGATGATTCTTCCAATGCACTAACACTTCTGTTGTTGAAGTTGTTCCGGTGGTAACCACTCGTCGGTCTAAAATAGCTTATGGGACAAGGTCATCATGCATTAAACCAGCATCTTGAACTGTTGGTAAAGGAATAGTAGGAATGATTGCATAGCCCAATTTCTTTTTAAGACATGAAACATGAAAAACTGGATGGATCTTGGAGTGACTTGGGAGTTTCAACCAATATGCCACAGGTCCAACTCGATCAAGTATCTCAAAAGGACTATAAAATCTAGGATGCAGCTTATGGAAGGGATGCAAAGAAAGTGACTTCTGCTGGTAGGGGACCAATCTAAGATAGACAAAATCCCCAATTGCAAATGATCTCTCAGTTCGACCTTTGTTTGCTTGAGTTGTCATTCGTTCTTGAGTAGCTGCTAAGTTGGTCTTTAACAGAGATAAAATTCAAGTCCTGTCTTTTAAGCAGTGATCCACCATATCAATTTTTGTTGTACCAGATTCATAGAGTGGAATATGTGGTGGTGGCTGTCCATACACGACCTCATAAGGTGTCATTTTAGCTGCAGAATGATAAGAGGTGTTATAGCTCCATTCTGCCCAGGGAAGCCATGTCAACCATTTCTTGGGTTGTAAGCTGCAAAAACACCTCAGATATGTTTCCAGACACCTATTGAGAACTTCAGTTTGGCCATCAGTTTGGGGATGGAAACCTGAACTGAGACAGAGCTTGGATCCTTGAAGGTGAAAAAATTCCTTCCAAAATGCGTTGATGAATATTGGGTCTCGATCAGATACGATGGAAGTAGGCATTCCATGCAATTTAAACACCTGATCAATAAAGACTTGTGCCACTGAAAGTGCAGTATATGGGTGAGATAAGGGCAGGAAATGGGCAGCTTTTGATAGTCTGTCAACAATGACAAATATAACTGATTTACCCTTGCAGAGAGGAAGGCCAGTGATAAAATCCATAGCTATATCAGACCAAATTCTTTGAGGTATTGGTAGTGGAGTAAAAAGTCCAGCAGGTGCGAGTGTCTCATACTTATTCTTCTGACAAATATCACATCCAGCAATCATTTCTTTGATATTGTTCTCCATACCCTCCCAATAGAAGGATCTGGATATCCGTTTATAGGTTTTGAGAAACCCTTCATGGCCTGCAGATGGAGTACAATGGTGTTCTTCAAATATTCTTGTCCGCCAAGGACTTGTAGGACTAACAACAATCCGATTCTTGTACTTCGGCCATTATCAAGTTGGTATTTGAGCAAGTTTAATGGAGTCAAATCGGAGGATTTATGTAAAACAGCTTGAGACTTCTTTAAAATCCAGTCATCTTTTTCAACATGCCGCCGCAGATCATCTAGCCAGGACATATAAGGATATGATAAAGCAAGTAAATCACTATCAAAATCTGAGCAATTTAGTGTAATTGAAGCAACATTGCCTTGATCAATACTCCCAACCATGCTTGAAGCCATAGTAAGCGCATTAGCTGGATCCATAGTTGAAGTATCCTGAGAATGGAACATTCTGGATAATGCATCAGCTGCTTTATTGTCACTGCCCTTTCTATACTGGATTTCATAATCAAATCCCAGTAATTTGGAAACCCACTTTTGCTGGAAATGAGAGTTAGCTATGTTTTGAAGAAAATATTTGAGGCTGTGATGGTCGGTTTGTATAATGAAATGGCTTCCCAGTAAATAGGACTGCCACTTTTTAACTGCATAAACCACAACCAACATTTCTCTTTCATATGCAGAAAGTGCCTGATTCTTGGGTCCTAAAACTTGACTGGTGAATGCAATAGGCCTGCCACCTTGTTGCAAAACTGCCCCTATCCCCATACCAGAAGCATCGCTTTCAATAACAAATGGTTTTGAAAAATCTGGTAGTGCTAAGACTTGAGGAGACAACATTGCATTTTTTAGTTCCTGAAATGCAGCAGTGGTTGCAAGACTCCATTTAAACCCATCTTTCTTCGTGAGTTGGATTAGAGGTCCACTGATTCTACCAAATTGAGGAATGAACTTCCTATAATACCACGTTAAGCCAAGAAAACCCCTTAAGGCATTCACAGAGGTAGGTAAGGGCCAATCTGCAATGGCTTTCAATTTGGAGGGGTTAGCAGCTACTCCATTCTGAGAGACAATATGGCCGAGATATTCAAGTTGTTGTTTCCTAAAAGCACATTTTGACAGTTTCACAAACAATTGATGAAGTTGGAGTACACTGAGGGCAATACTGACATGCTACAGATGCAATTCCCAAGAAGCACTATAAATCAGGATGTCATCCAAGAAAACTAAGATGAACTTCCTCAAGTAAGGTTGAAAAATCTCATTCATTAAGCTTTGGAAAGATGCAGGGGCATTTGTTAAGCCAAAAGGCATAACGAGAAATTCATAATGTCCCTCATGGGTTCGGAAAGCAGTCTTTCAATATCTGCAGGATGCATACGGATTTGATGGTAACCGGACCTAAGATCCAGTTTAGAAAAATATTTTGCACCAAAGAGCTCATCCAATAACTCATCAATCAATGGTATAGGCTACTTGTCTTTGATTGTGAGGAGATTAAGTGCCCTATAATCCATGCACATCCTCCAAGTACCCTCATTTTTCTTCACTAAGAGTACTGGAGAAGAGAATGGACTATGATTCGGCCTGATGAAACCTGATTCCAGTAACTCCTTGACACATTTCTCAATTTCAGTTTTTTGGAAAGGACCATACTTGTAAGGTCGAGCACTAGGCTGTTTGCATCCTTCCAACAAGGGAATTCTATGATCATGGTTTCTGGATGGAGGTAACCCAGATGGGCTTTGAAAAATGGATTGATACTTGGCTAGCAGTACTTGCAAATCACTATCTTGGTTAGCATTCAACTGAGACTGAGGAGATGGAACTGTTTTATCTGCACCAACTTGCAAAACAAATAAGGCAGCTCTCAAACAATGTTCATGAGTCAGTAACCTATCCATTTGCAAAGAAGAAATGGACTGAGGTTCTTGGGGCTGAGGGCTTGATATGGAAAAAGTAGTGGTGCCAATGACAAACTGCATAATCATCTTATCAAAATCCTACAGTACTGGTCCTAATGTTCTCAACCATTGGACACCCAAGACAATATCGCAACCACCCAAAGGAAGAGCATAGAAATCAAGCACAGCTGCATAATTTTGTATTCGAATGGAAACTTGAGCTAAACATCCAGTGCTAGTAAGGGATCCCCCATTTGCAATCTTCACAGTAAATAGATGTGAAGTATCGAGATGACCCTTTAATTTTTTGACCAAGGAGATATCAATGAAATTATGTGAACTACCAGAATCTACCAGGAAAATAGCAGGACAATTGAATACTAACCCATTGATCTTCATTGTTCTGATATATTTTGGGGCAGGAATTCCATAGACTGCACAAGCTGTTACCTCAAGCTCTTCACTGTCATCAGATTGATGCTCAATAAGGTCACCATTGTCATATACATCTATGAGGAGCACTTGTCGTTTGGGACCAGCACACACATGCTCTCTTGAAAACTTTTCATCACAGTTAAAACACAACCTATTCTTTCTTCGAAATTCAATTTCTGCTGCTGTTAAGCGTCTGAAATTCTCATTTCGTGAAGAATGCTCATTCTTTGGCGTGTTGGTGATATCAGATAATTGGGTTGGCTTGAACTGAGATGCAAATGAAGTGTTTCGGGAAAAAGATCGAACCTTTAATTCAGCTAGTTTGGCATCCACTTGTTGGGAGTAAGCAATGGCTTCATGAACATCAAATGGTCGTAGAAGCTTGACATCATGGCGAATTTCTGGCTTTAAACCCTCGATGAAGCAGCTTTTCAAAAGTCCTGGGGTCATCTCTACCGTGCGATTTGCCAATCTTTTGAATTCCATGATATAGTCCCTAGCAATCCAGATTGGCGAAGTTTCACCAAATTTTCAGTGCAATCCGTAAGGTCAGAAGAACCAAATTCCCTGCAAAAGATCTTTGTAAAATCTGCCCAATTGGGATAATTCTTGACGCAGTTCACCCATTGAAACCATTGAAGGACTTCGTTTTCCATATGAAAAGAAGCCATACGAACCTTCTTGTCCGTTGGAATATCAAAGTAATCGAAGTAATGTTCCGCCTTGTAAACCCAGCCGAGAGGATGATCCCCTTCCTGGAAACGAGGGAAATCCAATTTTACCAAAAGGTGGTCTAGGTTGAAATCCTGTATCTTGACGATTGAGATTCTAGGTTCTTGAATCATCACGCAAATTGGGGTCAGAACGAGTTGCATCCGATGAATCTCCTGGAAAACCCATTTCACATTTGTCCAGAAAATCACGATGAAGCTTCTCAATTTGAGCATCCGAAGAATCTTGACACCATTCCATGGCGTCGAACCTTTGGAGTAGTGTGTTGAGAGTGCTGTTTATCGCAGCAAGATGATTCTGCGATTCCATAGCTCTCTTTGTTGATGTACGAGTCATACGGCAGCAGAGAAGGGATGGAGAAATCAGTACTGGCTCGATACCAATGTTAGATCCCTCGATCAACCTTAACCCACGGAAGCCATGAAAGAACTCAGAGAGAAAATGACAAAAGAATCTTGATATTATTTCATAACCATTTTCTGTTTCTTACAACTCTAACTATATAGCAACTTTCCCCAATTACATTTTTACCCCAATTACAGCTATACTAACAACTTTATTATGAATATTACAGCTTCATCACTAAGATGATGACATCTGGCCCCCACACAATTGCTTTATAACCACTATTTGTTACTAGAATCCAAACAGAATCCTAACATAGACCTCATCTGTAGCATCTTCACACCAACCGCAACCACCCAACAAGTAAACTTTCTTTCCCGGAACTTCAAAACCCATTCCCTTTCTCTTCATGATGCGAGGCGGAAGCCCATGAACACAGTACGTTTTCTGTTGTACTTGAGGTAAGATTACGAGATTCTACTGTGGTTGTTATAATGAACCAGGATGATTTCTTACCTTGGACAACTGCTGCTTTGGATAACTTGTTCAAATCACTTTTCTGGTAAAACATAGTACGTTTTTTGTCCAACTTTCTTGCATTTGATAATTCATTGCTATGTACTGATAGAATTCAGATTGTACCTGTATCTTTACCTTGAGATCAGGTAATGGTTGAGAAAGAATTATGGAAGTTCTGGCGAAGCAGAGGATAGAACGAAAAGAGTCCCTTGTCCGCAACCACAGGAGGAGCGTATGGACTCCTTGTAATACATCATTAAAGAAAAGGAGGGAAAGATGGGATGACTTCGTAGGGCGGCTGTTCGATGTATTTTACACTAAGAGGAGCGAGAAGTTCGGCTAAACCACACAATGAGCCACCTAATTTAGTATCGAATTCGCCATCTACGAGATTCAAATCTAAAACCTTTCACTTACAACTAAAAAGAAATAGTGTCGGACCATAATACTAAGTTGACCCTTTTGGGAATTTTTTGATTCTTATCAAGCATTCTGCATTGGGAAGTTCAATTGTATAAAATCCTCAATGATTATTTGAATAAGATCAGAATGTGCTCGTGATTTTCTTGATGGCCTTCTCTTTTCCCATTGCAAGTTTAATATTTGTATAACTTAATGCAGAAGAGATTGCAGATTGAGGCTGGCAGGTGGCCCGCGGTCAGTTGCTGCTTATGGCGGTAAAAGAACACGTTAAGCAACTGCAATTTGGAGAAAAGCACTTCCGCAAGCAATGTTTTCTAAAAGCTACAAGGATTTTACATTTAAATTACTTTTACATATCAATCGTGATCGCTGTTCGATGACAAAATAGTTGAATCTCGTCGTTAGCCACTGTCATATCGACTGGTATAGGTAACTGACTAATACTAATACTAATACCCGCATCTGGAAATTAATGAGCACAACAATTTTGGGGGCTATGAAAATTTTCCTCTTTCTCTAAGAAAAGAAGAAAATACACTAACCGAACAAACCTCTCCCTTCAAGAGGATAAATAAAACACCATCTGGCGAGACTTCGTTCTACTTGCTATATACTTGGTGATCAACAACAGCTTCCCCTGCAGTGAAATTCAAAGTTACAACTCATAACCGTCTTCAGAAAATCGACAGCAACAGCTATGTAAACTGGTTCTGATTTTTTTTCATGTTTTCTTTTTTGTTCTCCAATATGGAGCAGCTTTTATATGCGCACATATCGTTATTTTACGTTCCCATATTCTAGTACTAGATCAAGAATGCATAAAAAATAATCAAGAATAATGCACTGATCAGATGTAATAAAACTAAAAGTGTCTTACCGTGCATTCTCCTAACGAATCGCTCAAATTCCATGAAGTTTTGTCTTTCCATTAGGAGTGGACTGAGCCTAAGGTAGGTAAAAGATGACAAATGCCTTCCATCTGGATCAGTCAAGGGCTTGGAATTATCCAATATCTTGTTGTAGCTGATACGATCATGACAAGCAAGAGCGTTCTCACTAGAAACTGGTACGCAAACATCCCACGCAGCATTCAGCACCTGAAATGGTAGATTATGGTATTATCGCAAAAGACTTCCACCGCGAACATGGATGTATTGTTCAATTTAGGGTATATCTTTCACAACAAATCCCAGTAGTTTCCAAAACAGACAGATTCTAATCAAGAAAAGTGTTGAAGCTTGGCACTCCATGACTTCTCAGATAAATTTGATGCTTACTTGCCAAAATAAACCCTCAGAATCTCCCAGTGCCTCTTGGAATTCTTCATGCTGGTCTAACACGTGCAATTCAGTACATGCTAATTTTACAGTAGCTTCGTGCTTCTTTAGCATCGTCATGATTGGAGCATAACCATCACGATTGCATGAATTATAGAAGCCTGCAGTCAATTCAGCTGCATGACTGGCTGTCTTGTACCACCAGTGAAGACCTGATAGCTGCTTAACAATTGAAATATAGCAAACTGACTGATCAATCCATAACTAGCCAAATTACTTCTAAGGTTGCAAAACTTTCAACACTCAACAATATTAGGCATGCATAACAGTCTTCGTTCTAGATTAAAACTTGAAACTTAGAATTCAACATGGATAATTTTGTCTTCGGTATTATTTCAATGCTTTGGCCACATTTGCAAGGTAAGTTCCTAATTATTTTTTCTATGGTTTTAATCTTCTTTCAAATATCAGATCTAAAACATTCATCTTTCATTTATGTTCAAAATGATGGAAGCTGACTCACCTTTGCAGCAATGCAGGTTCCGTCAAAAGCTAACTTTGCTAGAGAAAGCACCCGATCACCATGATCAACTAAAACTCGAGAGTACCAGTTAAGGAAGAACCTGCCATAGTAGCCATCATAATCACCGCCTTCGGAAAAGAAACTGGTTTCATTTGGCCGGGAATTATAAGAACCTGCATTTTCTGGACCTCTACCCCAGAAGGAGTGTCCCTTTGCTTCTGCTGCCTTCCTCAAACTTTTCAGCAAATATTGATCGTAACACTGCAGTTTTTTAAATGCTCAGGCTGAGGAAATCGACAGACCCATTCACTTGTAAACAGATATAACATTATTCAACAAGTTACCTGAAATTCACCGACACCGGGATATCGCCAACCATGCTTTACAGGACAAGATGGGTATCGCAATTCCCCACACGGACCTAGTCCAACTTGAATCATGGAGATATTACCATCTTTAAAGTACTCGTCAAACTCTACACGGAAGCTTCTCATGCAGTCAAAGTATACCTATATCAGCAAAAATTAGCATTTTGACACTGAGTATATAGGACTACCATTCAAAAAATGGTACAATATTATAGTATAACTGCCATCTGTAAAGGCCATTAATTGAAATTCTCCACAAAAAAAAAAAAAAAGTTTTTAGATCAATAGGTGTAAATTGACTTACAAAGAATACAATCACTACCAACCAATTTTTATTGCAAGCAGAAAGACTAAGGTCTCATTCATCATATGTTACTGTAATACCTCAACAGCTGTCCGGCCTCTTAGAACTCGTTCCTTGTCAATTCCCCACGAAAGGCATTCAGGATTACGTCTTCCCTCTCTATCGGTGAAAAATATGTCAGGGTTGCTTCTACCAATTTCAGCCACCCAATGAGGCAGTGGAATACACACATCATCACCAACATTGCCTCCACATTCATGAAATGACATCACAACCTTAACATAGAAGTTGCCCATCAGACCCAAATAAATTTCAGAAGAACTAACAAAAGCAACCATGTCCAAATGATTATAATCTCCAGATTTTTTCAGTAATGGTTAATAGTGAGTGAATTCAGAGCATGAAAGGGAAGTGAGTTACTTGGTTCCCACATTGTAAGACAAAACAAAACTTTGCCAAGCATTACAGGAAAACCATGGAAAGGAATAGGATAAAAATGACCACAAAGATGGCAAAACAATTAACCACTTGTGTTGTTAAAGCTTCTGCAAGTGAAAAAGCGTATTCATATAGAACAGACCTGTAGCTTCAGCTTAAGCTCGCGCACCATCTGAAAGAGCCTCCTGTATCCATTCCAGTTATACTCCTGTGGAGCATGTCCTTCTACTATTCCCCACCAGCAATCAACCATAACCCCATCTACATTAACTGATTTCAAAACCCTTAGCTGCTTTAATAGACCATCTGGATCAACCAGCTCACACTTCATATTAATGACACCAAGCTGCCACCAAAATAAAAGACATGTTAAAGAGCATACAGATTAGGGACTAAGCTTAAAAACAACCGGTATCTGTCAAGCAAAACTCGAACTCCTTGACATGGCAACCTCTAATGCAGGATACAAAGTAGAAAAGCAAACCTATTGAAAAGCAGAAAACCAACAATTTAACTGGCATAGTAAAAGAATATTAGGAAAGTTACAGAACTCACTGGTAGCATTATATAAACTGGAATGTTAGCGGTGCTGGAGAAATCGCGTTCTTGTAACTTCAGGGGTATGTCAACAATCTACAAAAAATAATTAATGTGCATTGAAGGATGTGACACTGCCCAACTTAGGAAGCTATAACTTAACTCAAGTATACATTAATAAAAATTAAACGAACTATATGAGAAATAGAATTTCACTACTTATGGGGTCCTAGTAAATTGCAATGCAGTTATAAGTATAAACGAAGACAGTATAATGCAGAGTCATGCCTCCATACATTTGCTAACATAGGCTACTGTTATTTATGCTATTTAACGCCTGATGATATGTGATATCAAAATTAACCTAGATGGTACAAATAATGACCATATAAAAGTATTCAACAACTGCATACCAAGAGATATATCCAGAAACCCATACCACCGTTGAAGTCTCAACAAATACGTCACACACATGATGCTATGACGGAACGCACAAAGCATGATGTTATGGGATAAAATAATTTTTGATTTTTTATATTTTGGTAGGCAAAGAGTCATAGACTGTAGGATTTCTCGTTATAGTACCTGTTTGTCACCAATATTATCCATGGAGCCACCTATAAGAGGATGACTCTCTGTTTGACATGCTCCTTCTCCCACAAGGGATGAACTTTGGGACCGAGCACTTGAGGGGAGATCATAAGGTGATAAACTGGGCAAATAAACACCTTTGATGTTACAAGCATTAAGCTCCCCAGGGCTCTGATAGCTAGAAGTACCTCCTTTAAGGGAAGCAGGAGTATGTGGGGACACCATTTGGGAGGATGATGTCACTGGCGCAGAATTGACACCAGCCAGCCTTGCACCCTGTAAAAGTTCAATAGAAAGATTCCCATTTGGGGTTTTTCTGAAATTTGTTAGAAATGAAAATCATAATAAGATGCATTAAATGTCATCCACAGGTTCATTAAGGAAGCCAAAACCAAACATGCACTCATGATCTAAGATCAGCCAATGCATGAACCACATGAAGATCAATTTTTTTCTTTTATAGGAAGACGATCAATTTTTAAACATTTCGGCCACCAAGTATGACATTAAAAGCAACGAAATATGCAGTCATGTTCATAAAAAAAAAAAAAAAAAAAAAAAAAAAAAGCTTCTTGCTTGAGAGAGAAGTACCTGAGATTTTGAAGGAAACGTTGTTCCATCTGGAAGAACAACCCAGCCAGCTTCCCTAGCCAAAGCTGCAATTACATCATTGATATCAGCCCTAACTCTAAGATTATAATTTCCATGTCTCCGCAGCCCTGCTAAGATCCTCGCAGTGATAGCCCTGCGCTGCCGTTCTCTTAACTTAGTTCTCTCTTTCTCTTCTATCGGTCTACACCTCCTAGCTCCTCCCCCTCCTGGAGTCCCCACTTGTTCTTGAAATTGATGGTGCTGTTGAAAACGGTTATTATTATTACTTCTTGTTGGCATTTCCCCATCAACGCCCACCATCATTTGGGCGGCATCAACATGCTTCTCTCCATCTTCATCATCTTCTTCATCGCCATCGTCCTCTTCTTTCACGTCCATCTCCATTTCTTCGTCATCATCTTCTTCACTTGTGATTAACTTCTGAAGACCCGAAGCCATAATCTCGTTATTCCGTTTATCCTACACTTTAAGCCCCCTGATTATCCTAGATTCTTGATCCTTCTACCATGAATGTAGAAACCATCACTGCTTAATTCGCCACATAACCACTTGAAGGATTAGATTTAGCCATAGCTCACGTTAATAAATCAACTATATTTTAAAATTACAGAGGCACAGAACCTACTGAATTGACTTGTTTACACCTATTTGGCTCTAATCAGTTGACTCAAATTTTCTCAGCTGCCTCTATTACTTTCCACACAAGTCACAAACAAGAAAGCGTTTAAATTTTCTCATAAAAAGCTTTCTCAGAATCAAAACATGACCAAAAAGAAAAACTTTTCCAAATTGTGAACTGAATTACCTTCTAAAACCAGCTGCCACGACCGAATTCTAGCAAAATTGACTCCACATTGGCCGGAATTCTCCATTTCCTCTTCGAATTCCACCTCCTCGTCTTCACTCAGAGCTCCCAATCCAACTTTTCTACCGGATCCAACTTCTCTTCCGCCATTCAGAAGCCCTAGCTGCTTCACCGGGTTCCGTGGTCGAATTTTCCGGCGACCGGAAATGTATCGTACGGCGTCGTCTCACGAGGAGTAGGCCGGGGCTCCGAACAGGAAGGCGGAGGGCGTCAGAGATGGGCGGGTCGGGTCGGGCGGGAGAGGGTTGGGGAGGGGGAAGCGTGCGAGCATGCGAGGAGGGGGGCGCTCAGGGGATTCTCACGCGTGCGAGGTGTGAGCGTGTTTGGGGGATTTTCTGGCACGAACGAGGCGTGCGTGGGTGTAAGCATGCGGAGAACGGGTGGGTATCACGGTTTGGGCGTGAGGCGTGACACGTGTCGCACGTGCCGAGACCGTGGGCTGTGGACACGCCAAGGACACGAGATTTGGGTGTGTCCTGATGTGTGGAAATGGGATCACGTGAAGTTGCAACTTGCTGGACGGTTGTCAAAGCAAATGGTAATGACTCTACGCTGTTACGTGAACGATTGTTATCTGTTGATCATGATATCATTAGATGATTATGATGTTTGAGGGTGGGCGATGGTTACTTCTAAAAATAATTTTAAAAGGAGAGAAAAATGAGTATTGTCAAGTGCTGATAACAATTATGTTTATCAATTGAATATGACGTTCTAAAATGGAAGGTATAATCACATAATAAGCTGTTGAACATTAAGTTTGAGGATGATTAGCATTTATCCTTCGTTATATGACATTTTAGGATGGATTATTAGTTGTAGATCATGATACGCTAGAATGATTATCATTATGAATCTTTCTTGACTTTTTCTTGTTTTTTTACATTTCAAAGTTTATTTACGTTTCATTTTCTGTTATGTAAATCGGCTTTTCAGCTCAAGAATCTCTTTTATGAATGTTTGTAGTCTTGACGCAATCGTGAAGTGATTACACCCAATTTCTGCTTTCCTTTTTATCATATTTCTATTTACAACCTTAGGCAAACACATTTTCACATTGGATTCTAAGTCTTCATTCATTTGAGGCATAAAAAGGACCTAACTGAATCAGCGTCTCACTCAGTGCACGATCATTTCGGTTCTAAAGTCAAATCTAAGCGCAAACCTAACTTAATTTTGAACACACACAACTGTCTATTGACAGTCTCCAACAATGGCACACCTATTCTCTCTTTCTCTCAAATCATCCCGTAACACTAAGATTGAAAGCAACACTGGAGGGGGCAAATCATGTGTTGAACCTAGAACACCTTGAATTGATGGGTTGAGGGTGCTTTGTAATCCTCCAAGAATCTTTGAGTTCCTATTAATTCATTCTCCTTTTGCTTTCTATCAGCGCCATATACCCGATATTGTGCAACTGCTAGTAGAACAAGAAACAAAGAACCCAGGATTCCACCTGTAGCCAATAATTTCCATATGTTACCTGTAAGATACAAAATCAGACTGTCATTAATTTTCCCATGATAATTGCTTAAAACTAGCAATAAAAGTATGTTCTACTTTATACAAGTGAACACATTCAATTTCACGCTTGATCATTGTTTTAAAATACTCGTCTCGGGGCGCGTCTCAGAGGCTGGATGGGTGGCTTGGCGCCTCTGTTTCGTGGGAGTCGGTGAAAAACTCACCTAGGGTTGTTAGGGCAGGCCCTAAGACGTGCTGAGGCAGTCGAAAACTTACTTGAAATTTGTTGGGGACCTTGAAGTCGAAGGTTGGGCTCATTGTAGCGGCTACTTTCTAGTTTTTCTTAAGTTTCAGCGGCAACACCTTCATGAAGAAGACGACCGCGAAGAAGTTAAAATGTTTATTTTTTTTTCTTAAGACTTGGCTCAAAACAATGTCGTTTTGGCTGTCTTTTTATTTTTTTTTCCAAATGACTTGGCCCAAGGTGACGTCGTTTTAATTTTTTTTTAAAATACAAGGCCAAGTCTAATTTTTTTTTAAAAAAAAAAAAATTTATAACCCCCAGCTGATCCCTTTCTTCCCCATCGTAATACCTCATCACAGTTCACCCAATCCCATCCCCATTCCACAGTTCCCCAATTCCTCAAATCCTAAATTCTCAATCCAATCCTATATTTCAATTTTACCTAATTAAGGGTGGCAAATCGGTCTAGGACTCGTGGGGCAGGGTTAGTTCATTCGGTTCGGGGCGAGTACAGGGCATGTACAAATTTTGTAAACTCAAAATGGGGTGGGGCAGGACGGGTCCATATAATCGGCGGGACGAGGTGAATCCCAAATATCTGAAAAAAGGTTCCCCGACCTGGACCATTTCCCCCTTCCATAATTCCATTACTGCATCCTGCATCATTCTTTCTAGTCGCTGACCTGACTCTCTCATCCTTTTCAAAGACTCGAACTCTAATTTGACTCTATTATAGATTCCCAACTCGAGCCTCGACCTCGAGGCCTCTCTATCCCAACTTCGACCACCACCATATTCTCCTTTTAACTCTAACAGGTTCTCCCCGACGATGAACGCACTCCCAGCTGCATCGCCCTCGAACTCTCGCTTAAGTCGCTAGATCGTTAGATCTCTCAATTTGTTGTTTTGTGCGTTTGTCTCTTATTCTCCTCATGAAAGTCATCCACTGCCGAGTTCTTTTTCTCCTATTTTTCTTTCTTCAAATTTCAGTACTCCACCAAACCTCTAATGTTATCGAAGTACATAAAAGCTTGACACATAAGTGTTTTTGGGGAAATTGCATAAATGTTTTCCACGGGGGCCTGTAGGATCCGTAGGAATCAGTTTGTTTGAAAATAGCTGGGTTAGGTCTGGTTTCAGTTTTGAAAATATGGCGATCTGCCCCACCCCGCCCCGTTTCATTTTCAAAAGGTCCAGTCCCGTTCCTCCAAATTGGACCTGGCCTGACCCATGCCCACCCCTAACCCTAATCAAATATTTCAATTTATTTCAAAATTCTCCACACCACCACAATTGTTTCAAAATTCAAGTAAGCTTTTTAGTATTCTAATCTCAATTTGGTTTTATTGCTTGTTTGATTGTTGATTAATTGTTGGGAAATTGCCAGAAATGACCCATTTTCTTTATCTTTGGACTCAGATAGGACAAACCAACCATGCACACTTCATGCACACCATGCATAAAAGCAAAATGTCGAAAATACCCACATATAAAATAGTAAAAACTCATAGCTCATTGCGTCATTTTTCTAATTTTGAAGAAAAAGCTGCGAGTGTGGAGCCAAAAATAATCCCAAAAATTCTAAAGGCGACACGTGGACTTTTGCTCAAGAAAGACAAGATTGCCCTCATTAAATGGGCAGGCTTCTCAGATACTCCCACGCGTAGCTAACACCCATGAAGGTCTCAGTAGCTGAATACGACTGCCCACAGCTCAGCTACCCTTGACAAGGAAAAGTCAAAGCATAAAGTTAAGGATTAATTACCCAAATCCTATATTTAATACATTCCCAATTGAAGATTGACTCTAATCAAGTAAGTAATCCCAATTTAAATCAATTAGGGATAATTACTCTATCATCTCAAGATCTTATTTCCTATATAATATCCTGAGAATATTTCTCCATAAACGTTGGCCAATAGGATGCCATGTGTAGGGTAAAACCCTAACATTATGGCCGACCCTATCCCTATAAATACCCCATATTCTACCAAATTTCATGAGTTTTCGCTACCCTAAAAAAGCCCTAAACACTTTATTCTCACAAAGAAACTGACTTAGGCATTGGAGATCATTAGCCTACCCCCCCCCCCACCTCATGGGAGCGTGAGGCTTAGATCCTTGATCAAAGGTGTTAATTGTTTTGCAGGTGCATTTTCATCAAGACTGAAGATGACGGAAATTTACATCGACAAATTAGTGCTTTCATTGAGAGTTGATTCAAATACTCGAAGAAGCCTCTTGCATTTGGTTTCTAGAATTTTCTATTACGTTGAATTTCTCACACGTCGTATCAATCAATTTTTTTGTAGAAAAGTTTCTTGATCAATCCTTGGAGAAAGGATAAAATGGTAGGAAATTCAGAAACCACGACGAACGGAACCCCGTACATACAAGGATTTGGATCGAAGAGTGGAGACGAGGACGTAGCCCCATGACGGAGATCCATAAGGCTCAACGTGATGACAGGAGGAGCCCCACCATCGTGGAGTAGCGTCACCACCACTACCGTGACCCAGCAGCCACCGCAAGGCCACCAGGCCATGACACTAGCTTTTGCAATGTTGCCCTTGCAGTGGCCCAATTTCCAAAACCCTGAGCAGGAGGCCCAAATCTATTTATTAGCCCACGGGCAGAGGGCCCAGGTTCATGGAGAAGCATGTCGAGCCCAGGAGGCCTAAGCCGCAATAGCTCAAGCCACTAGCCAAGCAGCACCAGCTAGAGCCCAGCCAGTAGCCCAAGCAGCCACGACTTAAGCTCAGTGCCGACCCATTCCTGTTGTAGGCGTAGCCCATGCCCAAGCTCAGCGCATGCCCAGCGTCAGCAAACCTACGCAAGACCTTATCATACCTCCGCGCATGTGCCAGCCATTCAGCCAGGTTGGCCCACCCCGCGACCCACTCCAATGACCTGACCCGAGGCCCTATCCAACCCAAGGCTCCCTCCGACGATCCAGAGTCTGACCAACGATCTCGTGATCGATTCAGGGTTTTCACCTCACTTTTATGTAGGAATGCCCGTTCTGGGCTCAAATTTTGTACCAACAGTCCATTACACTTCCACTACACATAGAGATGCCTATTATACAGACTCTTCCAATCTAAATAGCGAGTATCACCTGCCCTAGCATGTCACAAATTTGACGAGCACCCTCGCGAAACAGACTATTTTGGTGAACTAACTCCTCGAGGACATCGAAATACAGCGCACCTTAGACGAGGTGTCCCGAAGCAAGACAAGGGCAAAAGAACGTGACTCAACCAGCCACGAATTGTGCGTTCGAGTAGTATGCACTCTTTTTTGGGCCCTCGGGGAAACGTTTTCTTTCGCCTAGATGCGCAGAGAAGGGTTTATTCCCAACTTGGCTTATGAGTCAGTGTTCATTCGAGGTTAGGTCCACATTCTGACGAGCATTCAGGACATTCCAGGAGAAGCGTCCACACGGGGTTAGGCTCACAAGGAGATCTTTATGTGAGGTACCGGAGTAGGCAGCCGCATGATGGACAGAGAAGAGCACGAGAGTAATCCAGCTCAAGTTCTACTAGTAGCCCTAGCCCAACGCTATGGCGAGCAGCACATAACAAACCATGTACACCACGATCGCGGTACAAACTAGCAGGACATGTCGA